TGCACCACTTCACCAATCCTATGAAATTAGAAACATAGGAATATGGACTTGGAAGCCCTTTGGCAACAACTCAGGTAAACCAAAGGAATTGTACAGCGTGCTGCTCTCAATTTGAATTAAACTGGCCCATTCTCAATTTGGTGGCTTGGCCCATTCATGACGCATACAGTAAAGGCCTCGTGAGAGATAAACAAGCAGACTAGCAGATGGAGAGCGATGATTGCACTCCCAGCCTCCAATCACGCTCGCCGGCGGCGACTCCTGCCCATGCTGTGCCGGCCGCCGCTTTCGCTGCTTTCGGGCCGCCCCCGGACCTCCATAGGCGCACGCTGGCGACGCTGCGCGCGATCCATTGGTCCATTCCTTCCTCCGCGCTTGTGCTGCTTCCGCAACCGCCCACCATATTCATTGCCGCCTCGTCGACCGCCCATTGTTGGCCAGCGCCGGGACCGCGAATCGATTGAAGTCCAGACGGCGGCCGTGCCCTGTGCGCCAAGGCCCGGTGGCCTCCTACTGCAGAGAGGGAAGTGATGCGCCTATATGCACACGCGCCTGTACAAACCACATCCTGTTCATCTCTAAGCACACAGTTCATCTCCAAACACAACGAGCTCACCTCCAAACTCTTCAAGAGCTCTGACCAGATACTTCATACGGTGAGTCATGAATCTCATAATTTTGTTTTTGTTCTGTACACGTCAATCTTGCTAGTGACATTTATTTGTTATTTCACATCTCGAATACCAGGTGGTAGCCATCGTCCTCGGGATGCCGTGCGGTCGCATGGGGAGCTCCGCCTCCGACTCGCTTCTGATGGGGAAGAATAACACACTTGTAGATGGGGAAAAGGAAAGTACCTGGACGACAGAGGAACTCGCGGATGCACGATTCCGTACGGCGTTGTCGCTGCGAGTGCCGGACTAGGTGGCCGGAGATGGGTTCCGGCAGATTGGGTCGCCGACGTTGAGGCAGGCCGACTCGATGGTCTGCGATGGGAAGGACCACGCGCCATCTCGTGCAGAGGTGACGGCGCCGCCGACGCCTCAACCGGGGATGGCGCGGCCATCGCCTGCGCCAACGACGGTGTCCGTCAGCCGTCCCGGCGATGGGGCGGCCGCTGTTGCCCCTTGGCTTGCGATGGGGATTGGGGAAATGTTCTGTTTCGACTGGGCTGGAAATGTTCTGAAAGACACAAGCGCGAAGCGAATCGAGCGAGCGGGAGACGAGCGAGGGCGTGAGGCGCGTGAGCTGTCCTTTTCGCGCCAGGAAAGTTTTCAAGAGCTTCGATCTCATTTTTGGTTTCCTGTAAAACGAGGCCACAGGAATGGAATCCTAAGGATTTATTCCTTTGTTTCTCCAGTGAACCAAAGGGCTCCATAGGAATAAAACCATAGGAATCTCAATCCTCCAAAATTTCTTTGCCATTCCTTCAAACCAAAGGGGGCCTTAACTTGGCATCCATATAATTTTGGCAAAACAAGAAAAAATAGCCTCCAACAGTTTGGCAAAACAACTTAGCATCAATAGCAATTTGACAAATCTTCCCTCCGCGCGCGCAATATACGGCCTGGCATCCGGGGCTCTTCGTTTCTTAGCGGGCCTCTTCGTTCGCTTAGCGGGGCTCTTCGTTCACTTAGCGGGCCTCTTTGTTTTGTTAACGGTTTTTTTTATTTTACCAAGTCAAAAATGCCAAACTCTTGGAGATGGATTGTTTTTATACTTGACATATAATTTTGGGAGTTGGCAAATCACAAGATTTGCCCAAGTAAAATTTGATAAACTCTTGAAGATGCTCTAATGTCATTAGAAAGAAATGCAAAAGTAGTTAGAATGAAGCCACTTACAAGTGGGGCCACTAGTACTTCATGACCATAGCCTGAGCTAGCTGTGCGATCCTACTATACAACTCGATCTTATCCCTTCCCCGTCGTTTTTATCCACTCATTTCACTTTGTGCCCTGTCTCTCAGCGTCGTTGCCAGCAGCAGGCAGGACGCGCACGCGACCGCGCGAAGCTGCAAGCTCGAGTGGCAAACACGGCCCGGTGGTGCCGCAAGCTGACGGACAGGCGACGACGAGTTGCAGCGGCGTGCGCGACGACGACCTCGAGCTCGCACTGGGCGGGCGAGCGGGCGACGACGACGAGTTGCGGCGGCGGGCGGCGGCAGGCGGCCGGACCAACGCGACAAGCTCCGTTTGCTGTTTCTTTTGGCTTCTTCTATGTCGTGCTTGAGGAACTGCGATGAGCTCAATCGAGCGATGTGGTTATCCTCGGTCCAGCGCGAAGGAATGGAAAAAAAGAGGTCAGCGTGGATGTTAGTTTTCCTCCATTTTTCCTCTGGAATGGCTGTATAGGAAGGTTTCCTCCGTTTCTCCTACGTCCGTTTCCTGCGATCCAAAGGGGTGAACAGTGCCCGAATGCTTGGGATCTCGAATCCTACGTTTTTCCTACGTTTCACCTTCAATGCAAAGGAGCCCTAAAAAAGAAAGAGCGTCAGTCACTGGCTGGCGCTGCGCTCGACGATCACCCCAACGGCCGCCCAACCTCTCCGGATTCCGGAAGCCGATGAGCTCGTCCTTCCCCTCCACCCACGGGGAAACCCACGGTGCGCCGTTTTTCTCTCTGTCTCTCTTTCACGCCCGCGTGCAGTGCTCATCACCCATCCCCCTCGGCAGGCAGCGGCATGGATGGATCTGATAGCAGCTCGCTGGCGGTGCCCCGCCTCCCCGACGACGCCATCGTGGAGATCCTCTCGCGCCTCCGAGCCAAGTCGCTCTGCCGATGCAAGTGCGTCTCCGAACCCTGGCGCGACCTCATCGCCGACCGCCTCTGCTGCAAGGATCTCCCCCAGACCCTGCAAGGGTTCCTCTACTTCGGCGTCGGAAGCCGCGGAGGCGGGGACGGCAGCAGCGATGGTGCTGCTGATGCCAACGGCGGAGATCGCGCCAGCAGCCGCGACGGGATGCTGCTTCGCCACGGCAATGGGCGTTTCATCAACCTGCTAGGTAAAACCATGCCACTCCTGGACCCCTCATTCACCTTCCTGAAGGAGCAGCCGGGCATCCAGGCTATCGAGCTCCTGGATTCCTGCAACGGCCTCCTCCTTTTTGGACACAGCCGGGTTTCAGACACATTCGACTCTCTGGGCTACATCGTGTGCAACCCTGTCACCGAGCAGTGGGTGGCGGTACCCTCCACCGGCTGGAGTCCGACTCCACCAGAAGAAATTGTGGACGAACGTGAGAAAGCCGTGCGCACCTTTCTCATCTTCGACCCATCCGTCTCCTCGCACTTCGAACTAGTGCAGTTCTGGCAGGATGAAATGGCGGAAGATGTAGAAGCCATGCACATCTACTCGTCTGGAACTGGGTTGTGGAATGACAGGTCAAGTGAAGGTGGATGGGGGAATTGGGGAGGCTATGGAACCATAGAAAAACCCAGGCATGGCAGGGCCTTTGTCAATGGCATGCTGCATTTTCTCATCTACAAACCTTGGCACGATTTGTATGAAATAGTTGCAGTGGATGGACAAGCAAAGAAATGCAGGGTTATCCGCTGGCCAGATCAGCGTCCATTCCCTCAAGTTGCTTTTATTGGTCAATCACAGGGGCGCCTTCATTGTATCAGTAGTGATCACGACGACCCTGGACTGTTAATCTGGGTTCTCGAGGACTATGAATCTATGATACAGAAGAATGGGTTCTGAAGCACAGTGTGAGCTTTTCGCAGCTGTTTGAAGGAATGGATTATAGCGCCCACTTTGGATGTGTTTTTGCCGGCCTTCATACAGATCGCAATTTCATCTTCTTTGCTCAGTGCTTGGACCGGTCACTAATATCATACGACATGGATAGCAGGGAAGTGTGTGTTTTGTGCACTCTACTAGGGCACGGTTGTTATGTTACCCCGTATGTTCCCTCCTTCAAGTCGTTATGAAGCACTGAAATTGTTAGCTTGTGGGTACTCTTTGGATCTTCAACAAGAATTAGATCTGCTAACTCCTAAGTATGAAGCAGATGGCAACTTGGATAGATCTACTAGAATTGGGTCATGCTTTTTTTTTTGGTTGCCTGGATCAGATATATGTCATATGATGCTTCGTCCAGTTAAATTAGCCAACTGATGTATCCATGTAAGCCAGCTTTATGTATGCTACTAGTTTAATCTTAATGAACTCAGTTGCCCAACATACATGATGTGCATCTCTTTTTCTTTTCTTTTTTCTGTTTTCTGAAGATAATTTGTGCATCTTTAAGTGTTCTGTGTTTCAAAAGGTACCTTTTAAGCTTCATAATTATATATAATAATTCTATGGACTGGGATCTTTTTTGTTTCAGTACAACTCCAGGCGAGTGATTAACTGGTTATCAACTGAAACTTCATTTTTTTATAGATACTTGTTGTGTTCATTTGTATGAAATTAATAAATTGTTCTTCAGTATGTTGTAACAACGCATGAATCTGAAGAGTTTAGTTTCTTTCTATTTTTGAAAGATCGGACGCTGCTGGCATGCATGTATGAAGTGATAATACAAAGTGCAATTGTCATTCTTAACGTAATCTTCAGTTGATCTTGTGATAATAATCTTTGGCGAAATAGTCATTTGGGCCCCTGAACTTTCGCGCAAGGCTCAAATTGGCCCCTGAACTATCAAAACGTCCACTCTAGTCTTTAATCTTCTGATTTACAACTCAATCTCGTCCATTCTGCATGATTGCTGGACACGTGGACAGCTGCACATGGAAAATGTACAACTCAATCACGGCGTTTTCCTGTCCGTCTCTTTTCCTTCCTCTCGGCCTCGCCCTGTCTCTCTTTTCAGTACACAGCTGCAACATAGGTATATCGTTGGAGTACAAAGGTGGAGTGTATGCCTACAATCGGTCCTAGTCTTCTCGCTCCGTTTGCATCAGTGGAGGCAGCGGTGGCCTCATGGGGTGGTACGTGGCCGACCTCTCCATGGCAGCGGCTTCGACCATCCCCGGTCCCAGCGGGCTCGTCACCCCGCCGCCGCCGCGCGCCGCGTCGTCAAGCATGGGCGGGCACGACATGCTCCGTGTGTACGTCGTGGTGGACGGCTCGCGCGGGAGCGGCACAAGCACGGGGCGCCCTCCCCGTTGCGCGCGCCCAGGACGGCCACGAATCGGTCGTCCTCCACGTCGTAGAAGTTGGCGGTCCGCACCTCCTGCGCCAGCGCGCAGGTCCAGCAGAAGAGCCACTTGGCGCAGTCGCCCACGGCCGCACTGCCGCACCACCACCAGGCGGAGCGCCCCCCCGGGAGCTTGTAGCGCTTCCGCATCTGGGACCGCCAGAACCCGCCGTACAGGAAGCCGCAGAAGCCCAGGAGCACGCCCACGGCCACCACCGTGTCGCGGATCTCGTCGTCGTGGATGTTCAGCGCCGTCACGCTGAAGATGAGGAACGGCGCCACGCACAGCAGGATGAAGGTGAAGGCGTGCACGTACATGTTGCCGAACCCGAGTCGCTTCATGTTCCAGCCGAACACGCAGAAGGTGCACGTCGCCGACAGCGCGCACACCGTGCCGTCGTCGCAGCAGTCGAACAGCCCGCCGCTCCACTCCGGGCTGCTCACCACCACGCGACGGTTGTAGATCTTGATCTCTACGTCGTCGTTCTCGGTACGGCTGTTGTGGTCCTGCGCCGCAGCAGCAGCTTCGGCCGGCGCCGCCGCCGCGGACTCCTCCGTGTCGGGCTCCTTCCGTCCAAGCGGGCTGTATGCGGTGTAGAGGCCGGCGACGACGGGGCACCCCGTGCCGAGGCCGTAGCCGATGTTGAGCGCCCAGTCCGGGCGGTCCTTGCGCGTGTAGCTCCAGAAGAGGGCACAGCAGTAGTACTGGGCGAAGCAGGTGACGTGCAGCAAGACCACCACGACGAGCATGTGCGCTCGGTCGTGCGGGCGCGAGGCGCCGTCCTTGCAGTACACCTTCCTGATCTCCTCGCGGTCTCCGTCGGGGCGCCACCGGAGGAGCAGCACCAGGTGGTGGAAGATCTTGGGGTGCTGGTACAGGCACATGATGGTGAAGAGCGCGTTGAGGATCTGGTTGATCACCTCCGTCCACTTCTTGCGCCGCTCGTCGTCGGGGATGGCGTCGTCGAGCATGCCCGTCATGAGCATGAAGAGCAGCAGCAGTCCGGCGGCCACGAACGCCAGCCAGATGATCATCGCGAAGTTCTCGGGCTTCCTGCACCAGCTCACCGCGTAGGTCCACAGCTTGCCCCACTTGATCTTCCGCACGAACGGCACGCGGAACCGCCTCCGCGGGCAGCGCCGCCCGCCGCTGTCGCCGTCGTCGTCTGAGTCTGCCGACTCCTGGTTGTGGCTACTCCTCCGGCGGAGGTGGCCGACGAAGGTGGAGCGGAGGAACCAGTCCTTGGATGGGCGTGGGCGCGAAGGAAGTCCAGGAACCGCCGCTTGCGCCGGCTCTTGCTGAGCGCGCCCTTTTCCACTGATGGGATGTAGATGTCGATGGGGATGAAGTCGATCAGCCTCATTGTCCCCGACGGCGTGCCAGGCTCGCCGTCGCCGACGACCTCGACGATCTCATGCCCGTCGAAGCTGCCAATCCTCGCCCTGTCTCTCTTTTCTCCATATCGCCGTGAGGAAGGAAAAGAGACGGACAGGAAAATGCCGTGATTGAGTTGTACATTTTCCATGTGCAGCTGTCCACGTGTCCAGCAATCGTGCAGAATGGACGAGATTGAGTTGTAAATCAGAAAATTAAGGACTAAAGTGGACGTTTTGATAGTTCAGGGGCCAATTTGAGCCTTGCGCGAAAGTTCAGAGACCCAAATGGCTATTTCGCCATAATCTTTCTAAATCTTCGAGTGATTGATGCCTTAAGTAACAACTAGAAAACCTGGCACGGCTTTGCCGCGCCCTTCTTGGAGTGTGTCAGCCTATCGTTTGTATCTTGCCTTCTATTAGTACTTGATTTGAACATTAAATTTTACCAAGTGAATTAATAGTGCTAATATTTATAGCAAAAGGTTTAGTGCAGTTAGTACCCTGGAGTTAGTCCTTACATTTACAATGAAAGGTTGAACTAAGAGATCATCCATTACTGATATACACGGATTTTGAAGTTAAGCTAAGTTCTCATTGTTAATATTCACAACAAAAGCATAATTAGGAGTTCAGACATTTCCTCAAAATATCATTCCAAGGATGTTGAAGTACATGAGTACTGTATCATTCTATGGCTTGTCCAGGTCAGTGTTGTACCTCAATCATTCCTTGTATAGGAGTTTGCTACCTGCTTGCTTTATTGTCAGAGACGATTTTGCTTTTATTTCACAGAACGGTACTCCTTGAGATACTACAGGTGAAGTCCAAATTCTTTGAGCTCTGTTGGTATATAAAAAAAACTGAAGTTAGGAGGGAGGATAGATTTCATATAGCAACCCCGTTTGGCTTACCCCATATTCGGTTTGTTCGGCTTCTTTTTTCAGCCAAAACAGTGTTTTTCTCTCACAACAATTCAGCCAAAACAGTGTTTTTCAGCCAATTTCAGCCAAGATTCAGTATGCCGAACGGGGCCTAAAAAGGTTGCAAAGACCCCAGGTATAACGTCAGATAGTGATTCCTAGCTTGCCAATAGAGAAAAAAAAGCTGAACTACAGGGAATAGGCATTGATCATCAATATATGGAATCTAAAGCAAGATAGTTTCTCAGTTGATTGTGTCCCAAAGTTTAATAATATGGTCAAAAGAACGAGTTTGAGATATCATTTTTATTTTGGACATAATCAGCAATAGCATTGATGCAACCAATTCTGAGCAATATACATACAAAAGAGACAAGAAGAGCTCTTACTGATGAGAATGTGGTCGAGGCTCGATGAGCATCTTCTGATCAGAAGAAACATGGCAGCCAAGCAGAGACACAAGTTCCAGTCCTGTACCTTAGAGCAGAAGCTAGACCTCGTTCAGGAACTCGCGCATGCCTTGCCACGACCGCACCAACAAGAGCTTCTTCTCGACAATCTGTTGGCCGTCCTGCAGCAACCCCTGGAGATATTGGAGACACAGTTTTGGACAACTTAGTAATTTCTTACTACCATACTTGACATCTGCGGTATGAAAAGAAACCGAAATGTGGAATGAACGAATTGTAGGGTATTTTTGCTTTGAAGTGTTGTAGTTTCTGTTCAGAAGAGTAGAGATTTTGGACAGGCTCGAGTGGGTGTTGTTTGAATAAAACAACACATTGAATTGAATTTGTGAGGCTGCAGCAGCAACACGGAGTGCAGATGTGTGGATATGACTGGAATGACTCTACATCCAATAGAAAATGGTAAACCCGTTAAGGCTTTGTTCGTTTGTTCTCAAAATGAAAGGGATTAAGGCCTTTTTTTTATGCGTATGTATTCATCTCAATCCACGTGGATTAGAGTGAAATTGAACTAAATTCCATTACATTCCACTTCAACGTATGTGGATTGAGGTGGATACGCATGCATCTAAACAAGGTCTAAAGTGGATTGGAAGGGGTTGAGGGGGATTTTGACTAGGGGATTTAATCCCCTTCAATCTCTCTCAATCCCCTTAGTTTGGGGCATGCGGTAAAAGTGTGCATCCATGTTGTTCATCATAGTAGTAAAAGTTGAATCAGTTGTAGGACATGTTCTCCCTATAACCCTATTTGCCCACTATGATTCTTTTTTCTGAAAGTGGATGCAATTGCCTGCTTAAGCAGTTGAATCACTGAACCTTTTTCTATGAGAAAACGAATTCTGGGCGGAGCCAGCGTGATAAGACAAACGAAGATTTGACTAGAGGAGTTTAGCTTGCGCGCCTTCGTTATTGGTTCTTGACCGTCTCTGCAAATATATAATGTAGTAGTGCACCCTTCGCCGCCGTCACTGGCCCGCGCCACATCACCCAGAGGTCAGCTGGCCATGCACAAGCCATGGCGCCTGTGGCCTAGTCCATGTCATGCAGTCTAGGTAGAAGGGAGCTTAGGGAGGATGACGGAGGGATGTTGGGCGAGGGATGCGCATGCCGTGGCAGGCGAAGTTGAGCATGGCCTGTGGAGAGGCGGAGGGGACGACCAGGTTCGTGAGCATTCACGAGATTCTGGATTCGTGGCTTAATGATTGAGATCCGCTACAAACCCGATCGAACGGCTCATATCACGTCTTTGCTGGATCTAACAGCTAGCGGGTAAACGAGTTACGTGGCTCTATCCACTGTCCACGATTTGCTGCAGGATTCATAGACAGAGATGGCTCGACATTCATAAAATGTGGATACGTGAGGGCAAAGATGGGGGTCCAAGCCAACCCACTCAAGGCCCACAAGTTAGATCAACTTGGGCCTATTTGGGCTCTGCCAGAGCTCATCTTTCTTGATCCTGATGTCCGAGCTTCTAGTTGTGTTTTATGCAATTCTCAAAAAAAAAAAAGTTAAGCTTTATGCTCCACTTTGAGCTAATTTTCATTCTTTCCATGGATTTCGAGCTCAGCAAGACACATGGTTTGAGATTGGGAAATTTTTAAATTGCAAGGGAGCTTGCTGAATTTGTGCAAAATGGGTCGCAAATAGCCAAATAGACGAAACCCATTGTTTCAAAGTTCAATCCATTAGCTTTTGAAGCCAGTTTCTAATGGCAAATATGGGATGCACAATCCTTATTGTTGTTCATGTACAGAGGTGTTTTCGTTCAATGATATGGATTAAATGCACATATATTTAACTCCTAACCTCAAAATCCAATTGTTTCAAAGTTCAATCCATTAACTTTTGAAGCCAATTTGTATTGGCAAATATGGGATGCACAATGCTTATTATTGTTGTTCATGTACAGATGCGTTTTCGTTCAATGATATGGACTAAATGCACGTAGTACAGAGACGTCGTCACATACAAATGCATTCAGAGACATTTGGTTGTCCCCCACCTATTGAAATATCTTCAGAAAGTCATTTCAAGTGTTCTTTAGCTGGATGGAGCTTTTACGAGTGCACTCTACCTCTCTATGGCATCCTATTAATTCAATGAAGGTATGGTGTCATGTTTTATTACATTGCTTTTGTTAAAACAAGTGATTCAATAAAGCACGGGATATTCAATTAAGAGCTTCCTATGGATAGTATCCCATTTTGAGATCTCCGTTTATAAAAGATATAATTTCCCTTCATGAATCAATATCAGTAACTTTCACAAGTTAGGCTAACTTTTACCAGAACAGATAGGTCAGCTTATGTTGGACATTGGTCAAGTAGTCATATAAGCATGTTAGAGATTTGTAGTTGAGGCCTTGCATAAGATCAAATTTGGCCTAACTTTTACCAGAACAGATAGGTTAGTTTATGTTAGACATTGGTCAAGTAGCCATATAAGCATGTTACAAATTTGTAGTTGAGGCCTTGCATAAGATCAATTTTGTGACCAGTGCTTCAGGCAGCGGACAACCAGAATAAATCATGTTACCAATAGGAAGTTTTGAAAAAAAATTATGTCTTGGGATATATAGGTGGGCCCTGGCTTGCACGACAGAATTTCTTCTATTGTAGAGAAGGCAGATATTGCACAAAGAGTACTGCAGTAGTATATGAAATTTGCATATTAAAAGTTTAAAACTTTTAAATAGCACAGACCTTCACAACTTGCCTAGGATTGTTGGGATAGAACCTCAAAGCTAATTTGTGGGAACTTTGAAATGAGCTCTGGAAAGAGTGTAGATGCTTGGACAGGTGTATGAAAGGATTAAGCAATTGAATTTTGAGCATTTTGGTCAATAGGCTGAACTTCTGTTATCCAAGTAATAAAGAACATCACATTACTGCATAGCTATGGAGTGCCTAAATAAGCCTACTAAATGGCATCTGAACCAGGATAGAGGCAACAATTAAGTTCTCTGTAATAATTGTTGTCTACAGTGATTTAACATGCTGAGTGCTTACTACAGGTTCCCAAACGTTCGGCTGGCAGAATTTTGGCTGAAACTGGCTGAAAAGTACTGTTCTGGATGAATTGTTATGAGAGAAAAACATTGTTCCAGCTGAAAAAAGAAGCCGAATAAATTGAATATGAGGTAAGCCAAACTGGGCCATTTGCCTCTCTGCAGCTGTTGCATTCCCTTTGAAGAAGAAAGCATATTGTGCGATACTGCTATATTTTAGAGAGAAAGCGAAGATTAGCACAAGGACGTCGGTGCCACT